ATTGGCGTTATCTACATCTACATGCATGACTACTGTGACTATACTATATCTAATGCTATATATACGTGCGCTCTGCAGAAGGAACTTCTGGTGTCCATGGCCGAGCACGCCGCACGCCAATCGAGCTTGGTCGTAAACTGACGTCAACAGTGACGTCTGTTCTGATTGGTCGATAACCCTATGACACCACTGGAGTGACGTCGTTACATTTTAGCTAATCATACTGCTTTGCTCGATTTGTTGGCGATCTTAACAATCACCCAAAATTGGCAAATATGGGTGAAAATCACAATACTACTACTTCGAAGTACGTAGCAGTGTGGTAGTTGGATTTTGATGTTCGGGGAACACCAAGGCATCGGAGGGGGCAAAAGGGGGGCTGTATTCAGTGTAGCGGTGGTAGGGCCCTAGGTGGTAGGTCTGGCGGTGTATCCCACACGAGTGGCGAGTGCATACTCTGGTCATATGTATGGTGTACGTCATCTATAAACTACCAACTTTTCATAAATTTTTCTGACTTATATTTCATACTAGTACTAGTATTCATTACTCAAAATTTCAGCAAATTGAGATGTAGATTCGACAGATCTCAATGTGGTGAAGAAATTCTACGTCTCAGATTCAAATTTGGTGATGAATTGGGTGGCTTCCAAAACCGACTCAAATAATTTTGAGTCATCCGGAATTAATATTCAATTCGATCGACTTTCTTTGCGGAGACTCAAATATCGTCTCAGCAAAGAAGTACGCCTGGGGTCTCAAATCTCCCAATTGTGTCGATTTCAGAGTAGTATAATTTACAGTTAATTAATATTGTTCTATTTCCACGATCTCATGCTGCTTGCCCACCACGATGACGAATCCGATTGCGACGAACATGACATACTCATGCTGTACAGAGCTCGTGCTGTAGTAAAAGAGAGGCATTACTTAACCTCTCTGTCACTAGCACCACACCGAGCACATGGACAGCTATGTATGCAACACGTGATCGCAGCACCTTCATTGCTGCAGTGTCTTTGGACCCCGACGCGTTCGACGAACTGCTTGTGGCGATCTCCATGCACTATGAGTTTGGCCATGCCAAAGGACGAGGCGGACGACCGCCTAAGTCCAACATTAACTGGACTTCGGGCTCCGTCCACCCTCGCCCCCTCGATACTTTCTTCTGGCTGGACAGTGTCATGATGGGAAGTGTTCATGTATGCGTTGATTGATTTGCATCGATATTATTGGCTTATTCTAGCCAATAGATAGATTCTATGAATGGATGGCTTGTATATTTGAGTCGGTTTTGAAAGGATCATGATGGTTGCTGCCTCATATTATTCGCTATCGATACGGATAATGTCAGTACCACTTTGGTCTCAAATTGGATTTGTGCCGGTCTTGGAAGCCACCCATTGGTCCAGAAATAGACATGATGCTCGTCACCTATAAACTACCAACTTTTCACAAAATTTTCTGACTTCTATTTCGTATTTATTACTTAAAATTTTAGCAAATTGAGACGTAGAATCGACAGATCTCAATGTGGTGAAGAAATTCTACGTCTCATATTCAAATTTGGTGATGAATTGGTCCAGAAATTGATATTTAACCTAGTGGTATTATAACTACATTTATTGTACGTTAAATAATAAAACCTCCACACTTCGATTTGGCAAGTTGGAAGTTTACCTAGCGGTATTTTACGTGGACGCCAAATATCTTTGGATATTTGGCCATAGGGGTGGCCGCTGAGATGTATCTTGACTTTTGTATGTGACTATTATCCGTATATAGTATCCGGAGGCAGTTGGGACCTTAAACCTGCTACTGCAGTGATAAAACGCATGAATTCGGCATTTAACGTATTTTGTTTTTGGGTTTAACTACATTATTGTACGTTAAATAATAAAACCTCCACTCTTCGATTTGGCTAGTTGGAAGTTTTTAGATGACGATAGACAAACGTATAGCTCAGTTGGTACAGCGTCAACATTTCGGAGTCAAGGTGGCCATAAATGATGGCGGGGTTGGTGTGCCCCTGTTATGATAAGGGGCTCCTGCTTTTGAGTGTTCGTTCCAGCTTTTGCACGTTTTCGATAGAAATTAAGAAATATTGTTGATATATTTTCAAAATCCTCGAAAATAGTTTGGATAACATCCCTGCCTTAAAGCTTGGATGTTTTTTCACAGACCAGCCCCTAACTATTACTTCGAAGTATTGGTGTATCGGTAACGTTACACGTCCATTCCCTAACTGGTAATGTTACAGATTTGGTATTTATACTAACGTTATTTATAGTAGTACCTTTATTCTCGACTTGGAACGGGCCCTAAATCTTACAAGTTGACCATGTTAACTGTAAAGTACAGTAGAGGTGTTGGTACAGTATGTATACCTCTAGAGGTGTTGGTACAGTATGTATACCTCTGTATATCATTAATATTACTACGTAGTAGTATCCCACCCAATTCATGTTTGTGAGAAGGGACAAGTCAGTCGATGGAGCCACATGTCCCTGGTCGACGATTTTGCTCCAATGAAATGATCCAATAATTCCAACGTTATTGGAATATTCAAGTTTTGCAAAATACTCCACCACTTCCTCGGAACACGGACTACCAGTGTCAATTGTGTGCTGCACGCGTTACGGTCAAGTGGGGGAGTGGGGATATCTCCTTTATGATGTCTACGTCATACTGGACCGTGAAGCGATGGGATGGCTTCGAATGGTGTGTAAAGGTTTGTCCAGTCAGAATTACTGACTACTAGTAGTATTTGGCTGAAATTTCCAGTGGGTGCACCGAAATGTCACGCTGGATCATTCATTTCGCATAACTATTGAAAATATTCCGCTTAGAGTGATTATTGACTATGAATCCAGGTTTCGTTTTACCTAGCCAGCACATCATGACTCTTTCACCGCTGTCAATCCAACCACCTCCATATACTAGAAACATGCAAGCTACTGACCCACACCTCCGACGATATCAAGTGACCACCGTTCTTCTCAGTCTCCTTGTCGTGACGTTGAGTGGGGTGTGCATCACTTTGGCTGTCACCCCCACTGCCCCTAGCATCAGCCGCAGCAACACCATCCAAACGTCTTCAGGGGGGATGCCCGTGCTTGTCATCGTGGGGGACTCCAACACGGAGCTGGGAAGTAACCCAGATTTGATGGGGTACGAATCCATGCTCGCCCACGTGTACGTCCGCAAGGCTGACGTGATCAACCGCGGCAACAGTGGATGGACGACTCGATCGTGGCTCAAGGCGTTGCCAGTCCTGATGGCCGAATGGACGGCCAAGGCGCCGTCGCTCGTGTTGGTCTTCCTCGGGACAAACGACGCGTGCTTGAAAGATGGAGCTTCTGCCGAGATCCACGTGCCACTGGACGAGTACAGGGCCAATCTCCAAGCCATCGTGAGCCAGATTCAGTCGCCCGATCGCACTCCAGTGCTGTTTGTGACGCCGCCTTCCTTTGACGACACGACGACGCTCAAGTGGGATCGCACGAATGCCGACATTGGCAAATACGCCGCGGCCATGATGGACGTCGGCGCTCAATTGAAAATTCCCGTCGTGGACCTGTACACCCCCCTGCAGACCAACGTATCGTCGTACTTTTTCGACGGATTGCACCTGAATCGAAAGGGCAACATGAGAGTGTATGACATCTTGACGGCCAAAATCCAAGTGGAATTTCCTTCGTTCGCCGCCCACAACCTCGCGACACTGTACTAGGAGTTGTCAACAGCGCGCTATAATAATACTCCAGTATGGGATAATTTTATTTACTGAAAACATATGCTAGAGTCGGTGGTGGGGTGGTGCCAGGAAATGATTGTACTACGTAGTAACATTATACAAACGGAGCTCAACATTTAGAGTATCATTGCGAAATGGTACTGCTGTAGTTCCCTCGCCAAAACGACCACTGTACATGACGAAGGTTTCCTGGGAAATCAACGTACGAGGTGCCGACCGCGTTGTGGAGAAAGAGGTGACGGGTCATATACTATCGTGATTGCGAACAAACCAGGGGGGGTGAAGGGAGGTGGTGTAATATAGCTCAAACTCAACGAATCGAGCTTGTTATCGAGATCTCACCGGTGGGGATGTTCTTATGACAGGGTGTTCATGGGGCAGCAAATATCAACGCGTTATCGCGCCAAGCTATGAACATCCTTTGAGTGGTAGCTGACCCTGTAACGGCTCCAGTAGTATGAATGGCGGTGATGGTGTGTATTCACTCGTTATACAGACAAATGGCTACATGCTTTAGAGCATCTTGGCCAATCAGTAAATCTGTGTGCTGATTTACTGAAAATTTACTGAAATATTTTCGCACCGCACCAGTATCCGGTTCAGTACTTTGCTGACCAGCAATATTCCAGTAAAAGTCACACAGATTTGATGGACTTGTACTAGGCCTCTGGAACAATTATACAGTTTTTGCTCAAATAGTGCAATATATTGGAATCACATCGAGATATTTCGCATTTTGTGCCTCAACTGACGATATATATACGATCAAATTATTTACTGACTCTTTGGCTGAAAGATTGACAACTACAGCAGAGATCAAGAAACCTCGTAATTTACTCATCTAAGGTAGTGCATCGAATTCTCGGAAGACATCAAATTCTCGGACACTTTCATTTTAGCCAATTATACACCACCATTTCAGGCTGATCAAAATCTATTGGCTATGATAATATTCACCACCTCCAGCAGGTAGAACCAGTTTCAATGAGAATTAAATTACAACTCACAATAAAAATATAAGTTTACCCACAACCACTCAGCGTTTTGCCTGTAACTTGGTCATTTCTACTCCGTTTTCCTTCAAATTAAGCTCAAAATGACGGCCTTGATTGGCCCGATCGTTTGCCGCCTATTTCAGCTCAAAATTGACAAAGTTATGCGCGAAAAACCATTTCCAAAATGCCACCAACACTTGACGACATACTGGCCGCTCTCAAGCGCATTGAAAATGGCGAGAAGCCTGCTGCTGTTGCTCGTAGCTCTCCATTGAAGAGCTCTACGATATACAAGTACCAGAAGATGAAAGCCCAGACTGGTTCGATTACAATCAAGAAACGAGGTGCTAAGCCGTTCATGCCACCGGACATGGAGGACGATCTTGTGTCTTGGATCGAAGCAATGCAACGCAGTGGATGGCCTGTCGAGCGTTACGAAGTCATTCTCAAAGCCAGCCACATCATGCCATACCATGTTGGAGTCGCTTGTTCGCTTGGGCGTGGCTGGTTCGCCCGCTTTGAGAGACGACATCATGACTTTTCGGCCCGCGTTGCTCAAAAGTTGAGCCATGCCCGCAACTGTGTCACCAAGGAGGGCATTGTGAAGTACTTCTACGATCTTGTCAAGGGGTGCCTGGGTTTCATGTGCACGGCGGGGGACGTCTACAACGTCGATGAGACAATTTTCAAGACCAAGCGTGGCTCTCAGAAAGTCACCGCCATACGTGGGTCCAAGAATGTGTGGCGTGGTGTGCAGAGTGACTCGTACCACCTCACCATCGTGGCTGCTGTGGCTGCCGATGGAACGCCGGTTCCACCTGCGTTCATCCTTCCCGGCAAGAGTTGCGCCCGCGGGGTACTTGACGACTGCCCAGTACCTGGTGCATTGGTGTCGGCTGCTCCAAAGGGGTTGATGAACTCGGACCTATTCGACAGTTGGTTCGAATCGTTTGGTGAATAGAAGTTGCGAGAACGAGCTGCACGACCTGCCTTACTTGTCCTCGACAACTGCTCCTCGCATCTGTCGGAGAACAGTCTCACGATTTGTGAGGCGTATGAGATATACCTCGCTCGACTCCCTCCCAATGCCACGCATTTGCTGCAACCTCTCGACGTCGCGTTGTTCCGGACGTTCAAGCGAACGATCGCCTGTGCCGTGACCCAACGACTCCAATCGCTGAACTTCACAACTCTACCCCGACAGGCCGCCATCCATATCGCCGGCGAAGCATTCAATGCCGTGTTTCCTGCTGTCAACGGTGTTCAGGAGCAAAACAAGTCAGTCGTCAATGGTTTCTCTACCTGCGGCATCTGGCCTTTGTCGCTGCCCAAAATGCTTCGCCGCCTGTCGATGGCAAAGGCAAACTCTGTGAGCGACGACCGTGGAAATGCGCCGTGGCTCAAGACGAAGACGTACGCTCGA